ATAAAATTGACAGTAAATCAAATCGACTAAAGTTGGTGTGTGAAAGGTGAAATGGCGCACAGTCGTAATCAAAATATCTGAATTTTCTACTAGAAAGCTTTAATTAGGGAACGTGGTTGTTGATCTCATGAATTGATTTAAAAATCGACCATACTTTGTCACGTTTGAATGATTTTCTATTGTTTTCTCATTGATGAGTTAATTCTTTCATTTTGAACAGAAATCGTCATTGTGAAGCGTGCTGATGGGATTTTCGGTGTCCGTTTGTTATGCTAAATATTTGCTGTTTGTTTATGGTTACTGTCTCTTCGGATTATATCATTGTACGTGTGATCGATTGGTTAAATCTGTTTAAACGCCATTTCAGAATGTGATTTAAAATTAATTACACTACTTCTAATTGATTATAAACATTGACCAGCATTCATTCGTTTCTAACTATACGCAGTAGCTATTCTTTTTCGTGTGCTTCTTTGCAATGTAATTTAATTTAGTGTAATGTAACATGACTAGCCTTATTATATAAAGTTGTATGAGAATATTGTTTAATAATAATAATAATAATTTATTCTCAAATGACAAACATGTTACAAGCGACATGCCAATTTACAGGCAAGATCAAAATGTTAAGATTAGCAACATATTTCTTTTAAAACGGTATACAGTTACTGAAACATTTCACAAGATTCATTGTTTTCTTAAAGATGGGATGTACAAAGCTGGTAATTGGCGCAAGTTACGAAGGTTGCGTTACGACAATCATCTTATGGACTGAGAAAGGATTCATGGTAGAGATAGGTTTTCATATAACAAGAATTGATGCGGTAAATGTACAAAGGTCTGGTTGATATTCATCAGCTAATGATTTCACATGTTCTTGGGTAGGGTAACCAAGTCTACTGCAAATATCCAGACTTATACATAAATATTGGAATAAGGTGCTGAAAAAAGAGAAATAAAGAGAACGGGACGAGGAGCAGAATAGAAAATATCATGATTAAAGACGAACAATGGCTCAGCACATACGTTTCTGGATAAAACAAAGGTATGTTTACCCAGACGTTTTTTCATTAGAACACTAACTGTATACCTGCATTTATGTAGGTTAATAAAGACAATTCAGTAGTAAGATAACGAATGGACATTTAATCTTACGAATAAAGGAAATTTATAAATGATGAGTCCTCAAACATTTAACTGCTCGTGTTGGAACTTGTTGCTAAGCCTGTTGAACCATAGAAAATCTTCCAACTACGTCAACACTCAACAAATTTCATAAATTGGTTTTTTTAATTAAAGGATGATGGTTTTCGTAGTTTTCCAAGTTTCCGCTCTGTAAAACATAACTGGCTTTAGATTTGTACTGAAAATCGTGATCTTGACTTTGGTCGACAGTTGTTTGGAGTTTCCGATGTCGTTCACCCGTAGAAGTGTTGCTGTTTCCTTGTTTATCCATGTTTTCAAATCGGCGTCAAGTCCAGGTGTTTAAAGATTCTCACATCTTCGAAAGTTGTAGAATCTAAACTGAGATTTGGACTGTAGAATAACTGTCTAGGTAGTTTAGATACGAGGTATTGTCCAGTTGAAACCAAAACAAAGTGATTAGGTAAATGACGGTTCTAATATTCATCATAAATATAAATGTACGTCATTCAGTAAACAAATATTACCCCTCAGTTATTCCATCAACAATAGTTCAATTATTCAAATCAACAGCAACAATAAATGCTATTCTATCCTTTCTGGATAGATCAGATTCTTTGGAAAGATAATATTTGGTTTTTTTATAACACAGAGTGTTTCCTATTCTCAAAGAGTGCTTCAATTCACAATCCAGCCAATGCAAGCAACACAATCAATGGAGGAACAAGACAATACGGCTGCCGCCAAGACTAAGTATCAGCTAAAACAACATAAATGCAGTGCAGAAAGAAACATAGAAACTCAGAAATAGAAACTATAATAAGACGCAAATATTACCATCTGAAATGTAATCGAACAGACTAACTAAATGTAACAGCTGAAAAATTCATTAGGAACATATTACAACTGTATACATGCAGGGATTTTCACAAACGAAACCTTCAACAAATGGATCTTACACCGGCCCGCAAAATCTCTGCGTACAACGCAAAGCCACTTCGATGACTTTGGTCATAGTTCATTCCATAGCATAATCCCCACTAGAGAAACGAGTAGGACGTCTACCCGACCTCCTACATGGTTATAACAAGGAACTAATTAGAACCTTCAAGGAGACATAACTTACGTATATTCCTGCTAACTAATCCGTCATTCGTACGAACAGTTGCCGCCCTAACGTTTCTATCGATATAGGTTTCACAGCTTCCAACGACTCCAAAAGGCCACTTTCTACGTGTCGAAATATCCGAAGCCACGATTAGTACGTCTCCTTTCCAGAAATTGCGATGTCCTACTAACCATTTTTGACGTGTTTGTAGGGATTGCAAATATCCACTTAACCACCTTTTCCAAAACACATTAGCTAGATAATTAACCTGCTTCCAACGTTTGTCCTATTTATCTCTGGTGCTACCTTTATCGATTATTCCGTCACAATCTCTCAATAACGGCAAACTGTTTGAAGATAAGGCAAGTTTATCATCAGCATCTTGGACATCCGTGGTTAACGGTCTTTCGTTCCACATCCTCTTAATTTCGAACACCTAAGTGCCTAAGGTCTCATTAGTTAACCTCTGTTCTACTTTGCAATGTAATTTAGTTTATTGTAATGAAACTTAACCCGCCTCAATCAATAAAAAAGCATGAGAATATTGTTTCTAACTGATTCGTCCATAAACCCTTAATTTCTCATGTTGTGAAAAAAAATATTATTTCTGCTGAATTGAGTAATTCAGTTGCCTTCGCAACGTTACTGTTGGCGCGCTATTAGGAGAAAAACGTACCATTGAGCAGGGAGAATGACAATTACCGTTCGAAATAAAAGAATTAACTCATCAATGAGAAAACAATAGAAAATCATTCAAACGTGACAAAGTATGGTCGATTTTTAAATCAATTCATGAGCTCAACAACCACGTTCCCTAATTAAAGCTTTCTAGTAGAAAATTCAGATATTTTGATTACGACTGTGCGCCATTTCACCTTTCACACACCAACTTTAGTCGATTTGATTTACTGTCAATTTTATGTGCCTATAGGATATATATATATATATATATATATATATGCTCTAGTGTGGACTAGTGAAATCATTGCATTTAGAATTAACGTTCTGTCGGTCAAGTAAACCTTTGGTCTGTTCAACTGTTCTATCATGTTCCTGAAGTTGACACTATTTTTAATCTGTGTGGTCATGTTACATGATCATGTTTATGCTGATGCAGGTGACGCTGCTGTCCCCACTGATGACAAGGCAGAGGACGTGAATGTTGACAAGTCAGTGAATAGTGTGCACGAAGAAGTTGATCAGGATGATGATGGTAGTGAGGATGACAATGAAGTTGTCAAGGACAACCAAAAGGGTGGATCAATTGGAGAAAAGAATGAAGAGGGAAAGAAGAATGTGAAGGTGGTGGATGGGCGAAGTGAAAATGATGTGAACAGTACGAAAAAAAGTTGTTGAGATGAGTGTTGTGTGACGAGTTACGGGTGCTTTTAGGTTCTGTTGTTTTTCTACACCGTTTCAACTATTGATGGCTGAAGCCAAATGTCTATACTGCAGTCAATAAATATATGTATGTTCTTACTTACATTGTCTTATCTTCTCAATCTGGATTGACTTAATGGGAGGTTCATCCCACTGTATTTTCGGGCGTTAAAGGTTTTTCTGGATACGATTTTCAGGTTCAGAACTGCAATCGTTTCGGTTGTCTAAACTCATTTGATAGATTGGTATTTTGTGTGAAGCTGACTGCTACGAGCGTGACAAAAGCATTTGCACAGTTCCTCGCAGTAGTGCAGCCACCATAATGCGAGTTCGGCAGGTGAGTTATACTCGGTATGTCTGGTAGTGAGCATCCTCCCCTAAAAATGGTCGTCTTCAAACGTGACCAATCCGATTGACAAAGGCAGGACTAGCCCTTCCACTGTATCGCCTTGTATCGCGGCTTGGCAACAGAAATTTTACTATGTATGAGGAGGAGGGTTCTTGTCTAACAAACTATTCATGAAAACCTGTTTACACAATCCCTTCTAACTGAGCCACCTCAATAGGTGCAAACAGAACTCGCTTCGTCCGAAATAACACTGCCGATGATCTGGATATATGTGTTGACTCATTTATGGAGATTAGCAGAACTCCAAGCATCAAGTTTTATTCTTTCAAGGAGACGCCGTGTTCGAAATATACGAGATTAATTATATTTGTTATTCCTAATTTTTTACGTTTTTTCCAAAATCTTTCAGGAACTCTGTTTTTTCTAGTGGATATATTTTTCTGACTGTACCAGGGTTACTGTTAGTTCGGTGCTTAAGATCATTTTCTTTCTGGTTTGCTGCGTCAGCTTGGACTATAGTAGAAATCAGGTTCTTCCCTTTTCACGTAACCGCACTCAATTTCAGAACACCAGGTCATCTCCATATGCTCACAGATGTGAACCTTCGAACGGCTTTTTACAAGAAGACTATTTGAACCATCAGTTTTAATAAGTCATGCTTCGTCATTCTGTCATCGTTCGGAAAACATTCAATAGTTTTAACAGAACTCATGAAATTTGAACATTTCGGAATTATGTGCATTATATGCATTGAACAGGACATTCTCGTCTGCCTTTTGTATGAATGATGGTCACGGACGAAAAAGTAACATGAACAGTCAGATAGTTCTCTTGATGCTCTGTGCAATATAGAGCTATATACTTCAGCATAGCTTTTTCTTGTCAAACCTCATCCACAATATATGTTTCTCCAAAACTCTTTCTCAAATTCAGAACTTCGTCTTTGTTTGATGTCTCTTCTTCAACTAGCAACTGTTACCTTACACTGCCCGCGTGATTCAAAACTGATCGACAGGAGCGATGCTCTTGGATGCCTTGTTTTCATGCTTTTTACGCCGAAGTTCCTCCTTGGATTCGATCAAAATTCACGATCGATGTGCCAGGGAAATCGTTTTACGCGAGATAGCTTTATCACAGGAACTGAGAAGAGTGGCACAAGAAATAATGGATTCGTCCGGGTTACGAAAACGGCACCAACATCCACACTGCAGGTAACCGAGCTCACGATCTGATAATTACGTTTAATATGTGTGATTTGTGAGTGAACAGCTCTCTTTCACCCCTATCCCGATCTTTGGAGTATTGACATTAGGTAATACATGCATACAAATACTCGTGTTTTCCGCATCCCTTTGGTTGCTTATGTATTTTACACTGCGGTTGTCTAAGAATATTCTAAGAATCAACGCAGGGTGAGAGCAGTTTTTTCGAACACTCAGATCATCCTTGCAATGTCTTTTCGAGAGTCATCACGAAAATTCATAAGTCATCCCTCACAGAACGGTTCAGCAAACAAAAGCATACGAATTTGACCGCATGAACGTGTATACTAGCGATCAGTTACCTGCGGAGCTTTCGACCGCCTGATTTATACTCTGACTCTCCAAACAGTTGTCCACAAAATTCCTACGAATCGGAAGCAATGTTTGTTTATATAACGTGATTTGTTTTTAAATCTGTACTTCAAGGTATACACTGTACACACCTTTATATGTCGATCGATGATGTCGAATATAATCATCTGTCTGGAAGTATCATTCGAAAATTCTCGGCCACAATATGGTGAAACTATTAAGCTTCATTCAATGTAGTTCAGTTTTCGGTTCGTTTAAGATGAGCAATTGTCAATCGATAAATTTTCCATGAAAAATATGTTTTCTTTAGTCATGCAAAAAGAAGACGATCGACATTTTTACCATGTCATTCTAGCTATACAATACTCTCAGTGAGACCAATACATGACGCATCACTCAAGACCCGTTGACCCACTACCTACAGATGGTCATTCAAACGATCTCTTCAAGCAATTTCGTCAATCTTCCTGTAGGTATATAGCATTTTCTTGCACGATTGACATGGCTTCTATTAAAGTGAATACGAGTAGTTAGGTGCAGAGATACTAACAACAAACGAACCTGAATACGTTACTTTAGGCACTCAGTAACATCAGATTTCTCACACTTATTACCTCTGAGTAACGAGTTGTGAAATTTCGATAGCATCAAGCATTTTCATCCCCTGACGTTGTTCTCCACTTAAAAGTATCAGTTATCACCATTTCATGAGTTCGATTGTGGGTTTTTTGTCGACCTTTTCGTTGTTAGGCGCCTTGTCGTAACACAGTTCAGTCGATTGAATATTCTTCTTTCCTTTCGTCTTTCTCAGAAATATTTCCATGCTTCAAGCCGACAAAAACCATATCCGAGTAAAGTTAGAGGGTCCAAACGATTCACTTGATAGTTCACGTGCTAACAGGTTAGTGTTTTATCACGTAATTTTAACATGTAAGTATCTCTTTGAACATCATGTTAGCAGTGTTATTTGTTACTGCATATTTCTATTGAGTTCGTTTTGGTGAAGGAGTTAAGAAATCTTGAAACAATTACTTAGTATTATTCATGATTACTGACCGCTGCTTTTGCACAGCAGTTATTCAGGAAATCGCCTTCATTGCTCTGATCAAATGACTTATTGCTAATACGGAAGCTTGTGAGGATATGTGATTTGTGGAACATTTGTAGCTAACAAAGAAGTCGATCAAATAAAATGAACGGCTTTAACTGTACATAATGTACTCACCATTGTGTCATGCGAGTCCCGACATGGATCTTTCAAAACGTGTCCTAAATTAGTGGAAATGTGAGAAGAGTTTGTGACAGATTCAACTAATGGGCATCAAATTATGAAAATCACATAAGCAACTGTAAATGTTTCGTTTGACTTCCGACGTTTTGACACAATAAGACGTCTCCTTCATGAAGGTTCCACTTTTGTCGGTAAGATAGCAGGTTTTTAAAGCATTCACGTCTGTAGTGACCAAGCGTAACCAAATAGTCAAAAAGGCGCAGTAGTAAAACTGACCTTAATTTGGAGTGTATTCTCGACCGAGTGAAATTTACTCGTAAGTTGGTAAATTTTCATCCCAATAGTGTTCACTGTGTAGGCAGTATCTCCACTCCATGTTTTGGATGGTGGTCTTCACTCATATTATTGCACGTCCATTATTTAACGGTCGATGCACAATTTGATTCCCTCTTTAACTGTTTTTCTGGTTACCTTTGAAGTGTACTCAGTTTTGTCATTGTTGAGTACAACTCTCAGGTAATTCGTCCCTATCTTTATTTCATCCAATGAGGCACAGACAAGTACGTGCTCGCACTTGCACACTATCTGAATCTGAACATGTGCTGCAGAATGAGCGACAGTCTCCTCTCGAGCTTATCCATAGGTGGCTGATAGCAGTGTGGTCTAGTCGGGTTCAGCGTTGAGTCGACTTTATGGGTCACCTGGTCAAAAGATGTCTTTCTATATGATTGATATTGGTATGTGACAGAAATAGCCGGTTATCTGAGCATAGCTGCAGCAGACGGTTGTTGTTACCTGCTTGTTGAGACGAGACATCGAAAGATCCACACAGATATCTTCCAGCTTGGTTTATTCTGCCTACGTGAGCCTCCAGATTATCGAACATCACTAATACTACATGAGAGAGTCTAACCTCTTGAAGAAGGCTAGAAAGCTTCTCATCACTTCATCAGATGCTGGAACATAGACACAAACACTACTGGTTGAGCTGACTTGTTGACTTAGAGTATGCAGATGACATAGTTTCTCTCGGTGAATACGCTGACGAAGTGCAGTCTTCAGACCACCTTGAGCAACAATGCAAGAATGTTCAGGATGCGATTCTCTGCGTCGAGGTGCGAAATGTTGTTTGAGGATTGGCTTGGATCGACACCTGATCTGATGATAGGAAGTGGAGTGGTTGAGCGTGTTGACCGCTTCACTTACCGAGGGAGATCCATCAGTGCTGATGGCCTGATGTATGACGAAATCTGAGCAGGGATACAGAGGGCTAGACTGTTTTTCGCCAATGTGCGTCACTTATAGCGTAGTAGTCTGCTAACCAAAAACGAATCTGCGCAGCAGTTCGTTGAGTTCACTGAGATGTACTTCTACAACCATATAGTCTATCCTTAATCTTTTCCAATTCTACTGCAAGGGGTGCCAATATGGTTGTTCAGTCAACAATACCATCTGTCTGTGCTAATGTAGTCTGTTATCATGTATAAATATTAATACTTCACGCGAAAACTGTTCTGTGACTCCACTAATAAATCCACTTTAGATATGTGATAGTCCAAGTGATCTGACATTTTCTCAAAAGTCGACATGAACATTCTCACTGCTCATTTTCATGTAAATATTATGTTTAGTTGAATAAACATATGTAATTAAAAGTGCTAAATTCTACATATTTTTGAAAATATTTTGATACGATTTCTATGACCAAATTATTTTCTTGTAATAACAATGTATTTCTTACATGTTTAATTATAACTGCAACAATTAAAGACACCTCGTATTCTACTTAACTGACAACCATTTAGCAATTATGAACTAAATCCTTGTTTTAAATTGTCTGATTATTTTCTTACTAAAGAACCACAGACCTCTGATTGTTGGATACACTACCGATAATAGTAATCAGTATTCGAAAGCAAAACTGATACCGATGATCATTTAGAATAGAAGAGTCAATTGATGTCACTATGTCTTTCCGTTTATTTAGCTCGGGATTGTGTAACAAGTGCTGAGTCACTCACTGTTCAATTCCTCGTACTCCGTTAGCTGGTATCGTAGACAACTGAAATGTTTGAACCGTATACTATTATACTGACTTATTGACTGTCTAACTTCGAGACTGAATCATGTAGAAAATGGTGTACTTTTGATTAGGAGTTCATCTGGTGCACGAAATCGCTGGTTGGATATGCTAAAGTATGTAGCTTAAAATTGGTTGCATTAGCACAGGTGCCTTTTAATACCACCCATTTTTACACCACAATGTGTTAGTTTTGGCTTCCGACAGATTGTTATATTGTTATTTGTATTTGTTTCTGTTTACACATTTATTGTTATTAGTCTGTTTTTCTAAAGAGAAGTGTAGTGATTTGAAATGATACTGATGGCTCAAATGGTGTCCTCACTTTTATCAGTGTGATAAACACTTATCTAGCTTGTGTGTTTGAAACATGATTAGACTGAGTGTGGTTAATTAGTGTTTTCCCTAATAGTTCATAAATTTTTGTATTTAGGCAAAGAAATACTGATCCTGTGCAAGGTGAAAGAACCAGAATGCAATGTTGTCACGCAAGTGTTCCCAGCAGCTTCTTGGCTGAAACTCCTCCATGTCCAAGATTATTGAGATGTATTTCAACCGATTCAGTAAAAAAGGCATCATCGACTTCTCGGAAAACTAAACCGGCTACTTTTGATAAACAAAAAACTATGACTACATCTGCAGTTTCTACGCCTATTATTCGGACAGCAACGTTTTCAGCCAATGATCAAGACGAGCATCCAGTTCTGCATTCCAGTTCCTTTCGTACTGGTCGTTCACCTAAACCTGATATCGAAAGCTCTAATGAAGATATTCGCAAGCATCACATTACCAGTGAAATCCATACTCGTGAACTCACAGACTCTCAAACCAAACTAGATGAGGTTCGTTCTAAATTTCTTTTAAACGTAATAACCCGAACTTAAGTAACAGTAGAAAAATTTCACGGCATCTTTAGGTCAATATGCTACGAAGGCAAGAGACTTTACGTAACAATATCTTTTCTAAGCCTGTACTCACTATATAAGCCAATATCACCGATGTTGTATAATGGCTAAGTGATGTTAACTTAAAAAACGTTTCATGTCAAGGTTGACTGTCCATATCAGGAGTTTAACAGTTTATTTACTAACTTAAAATCAGCCACCTTTAGAAACAGTCGAACGAATACAATTTAAATGCATTATATGTTTAGGCTTGGGCTGAGTGAAGTTAATCTTCACCTAATGTACACTTGTTAGTTAGTTCGTTAGCATTTACCCGCTCATTGTCAGAGTAATGTTGATTTGCTTTTCTATGTAGCCATATATTAGTTTGATCTTTAATTTGTATTCATCACTCAATATGAAATGAGTAATCAGTAAGTTGATTCGATTTAGGAAATAACTGGTGAGTAGCTATTATACATAAATGAAAGATACTCATGACTGTATTTGAACCAATATTTTCGCGTTGAATAGTGGTGTACGCATATATTCGATTTTTATGATAAAGTAACTCGATGTGTCATTGAAGATATTCTTCACCGAATTCTCTTTACTTCTGTAATACTTAACATTTCTTACCTGGATATCCCTCTCCAGTAGGCAAACACCAACGGCTACGATTAATATTCTTAATGGTGACTTGAGAATTAGTAAATGACGATTTTTACATATCGGCTAGGCGAAATCTTGTATGACTTACACTTTGCTATATTTTATATTACAAGTGTTCTAATATGAAAATTCCGCTTGTCACTAATTGACTCACTATAATTATCATTCTCTTAATGTGACGTTTCTAATATGCACTGAAATGATTACTAGCACTGTCCACCGAATTCCGGACAAGTTTCACAATCAACCAGCGGAAAACAGATTACAGATCAGAGTTCTGTTGCTAGGACTACGCCCTCTCGCGGTCGACCTAAGCCCTCAGCTGCTGCAACTTATTCTGCATCTTCTGCATCCAGTAATGCCCCAACAAATGTAACGGTCAATCAACAAAACCAACGTCCCATTTCCCAGTCTAGTTCCTTTCATTCTGGTCGTTCACCTAAACCTGATTGCGAAAGCGCCAATGAAGATGTTCTTAAGCGTGCAATTTCCAGAGAAATCAATACTCGTGAACTTGCAGAGTCTCAGACCAACGTAGACGAGGTTTGTTCTAGATTTCTTTTAAAAGTTAATAGTCCAAACAGAATTAAAAGTAGAAAAGGTTCACTGTAACTTCAGTTCACTTAAATTAGTTGAGAGGATTTGCTTATTTATTTGCGAAAATCTATCAGTTCGTGGAGGGAGTATAGGATCCAGATGCTGTTGGTAATTCGGTTGAATTTACAACCTAGATTTAAAGATAGTCTTTCGTCAATTAGTGTAGAAAAACCATAGTTTCTCAACAACACACAAAAATAATAGTGGCCACAGCAGACTAGCGAAACCGTCTTTGTAAATAAATCTTCAGTTTCCATTGATAAAAGCGTTCGATAAAAACACAGTATAAATGTATTTCCTTCATAGACAGTAAGAGAGGTAGATGATATTGGTTTCTGGTCTCTCGTCAATTTCTGGAAGAATTACCGATGCCTGATAGGATTGTGAAACGTGTGAATTTAGTGGTTTCGCACTCCCTATTGAGATTGTTCTAATAGTTTCTGTTCTGTTATGGCTTGAAATAGCCTCATAAATGGCAACTCTATGAGGAAGTGAACTTTGGGAGATTTTCGCAAATGGGCAATTAAGACATGTGTGCAGTCGAATATGTTGAAGCAATCAGTAAGAGTGACGTCATCAACACAAAATGATAAGCGAAGAGAAATTTTAAGCAATCACCTCTTTCCTAAGCCTCTACTCATTACGTAGGCCGAAATGACCGATTTGGGATTAAAGACAGTCTTGGTAATATAAAATGTTTTGACTTTGAGAATCAATATCCTGACCAGAAATTATATATTTTATTCATCAACTTTAACTGAACGCAAATTTCTCTTTCAAACTTAATCTCGCAAGCATGATAGTCAAAGTTCATTTTACTAACTTCAAATGATCCTTTTAATTTGACTATTACTAACTAACCAGTTACGTTTAACAAATTCCGTAAATGTGCGATGGTAAATACGAAAACGCGTTATCGCAATAAATTACGAACAGTTATGAAACCGAATTGTTTGCTGACGAAATTGAACTAATAAGAAGACATATGTTAAAATTGTTCACTGTATTTTTATTTTATTTAGTTAATCGTGGATGGACCGAAAGGCTCAGCCAACGGAAATAAAGGAGCAGTATTTGTTACTATTCAAAAGATTGTAAAGAATCTTGGTCACATCTTCAGCATCATATTTAAATGTCAGGAAAGCAGACCTAATTCCCCAGGCGCTAACTAGATTACCTCACACCTTTGTCGATGTAATATGATTTGCACTTTTCACATATATCGAAAATCTTGATTGTGATAATATTGTTGCAATGTTTTCTTTGTTTGAACTTCATTTAAAGTCTTCTGACTTGTTAATTAACATGTAAAGTACTGCCAGTCATTCTTAACAGCTTTCGATGAATGCGTCATACTGTGGGTTGTTTTTTCTAACGACGTCTATTAAATGAGAAATGGTGTTTTCGATTTTTGTTACGAAAGCAATATTTAGTAGTCATTCATTTGTAATTAGCTTGGAGATGAATTCTCAGAATTGTAGTGAAAACCTGCAATCAGAAGTCTCACCCAGTTGGTAAGTGAGACAGCCGTCTTCAGTGACTGTCAGTTGTCACTCACTATCACGCATTGGTAAGAATTGGACTGACTCCGTGATCAAAAACTGTTGTGATCTGAAGATTCTCAGAGATAACATATACATATTTTACATTCCCATATAATAAAGTAATGTTGGGGAGTGGACGATTAATGCAGGAGAGGAAGATTTCGTCGTTTGAAGATTTTCAACCTATCATGTATGGCGTCTTCGGTACATTGTCAAGGACAAAGAAACTACAACGGAACAGTTGTCGTGCCTCATTTACTTTTCGATGACTATCCAGCTGCCAGCTTTTAGTGATAAATTATTTCATGATGAAGTTTGAACTGACAATAATAATAATAATAATAATACTGAAACATGTGATATTTTATCAATCAACAAAATTGAGGTAACGGTCTTCGATTAAATTTACTTTGTCTCACAGAGCTTTATGAGTAGTAGTGACCAGCAACTTAGATAGCGCACGATGCGAGGTGATGTGTTTTGTATTTTGAAATTCCCATATCATGAATCCGAAAGGCATGTATAAGCGAACAGTATTGTTTGCGTTTAGATTTGCATCAGGCTCTGTTATAAACGTGATTCATAAACCGGTCGAGGCAATCTATCGATCAATGATAACGGTGGAATAGAAAGTACAGATTGATAGTGTGGGGACAGATGGAGTGGTTATGATCAGAATAATAAAGTCTACATTAAATTTCTCATAATAGGGAGTAGGTCAAACGGATAGGAAAAGTAGACGCTGGAATAGTATTCACTAGAATTATAAATCACGTAATAAGAAGTGCTTAAATAATTTAAATAGTGAGGTGTACGTTAGGAGGACAAAAGCTGTGAACTGAAGAGAAAGTGAGCTACTAGGAAAGGAGTACTGAGAATGATGATCAAAAATAAGCAAATAAGATCGTGATTGGGTCAGTTTGGCCAAGGGAGATGAACACAAGGACTTGGATTATCAGCGTGCATCTCTGTAGCCTCTGTTGTGTACGGGAGAACAGATCGAGCCTAATTAGGAAGACTTGTAGGTATGCGATAAATTTCTTCAAATGATTCGTCCCTACCTGCTATATGACCACTGTCGATCAAGTACGACAGGAATAAGCTGCGTAGTGCTGCTTATGCTCGTTCTTAGCCACAGAGGTAGGTGTTCGCTAACCCTTCTGCTCAGTTGTCTGGTTGTAGGCCAAATGTAACTTCACTAAGTTAGTTGATTGCGTCGACCTGCTATACGAGTAGCGCACAACACAAGGCGATTTCCATTCATGTGTTGAAATCTACGTACTGTGAGTTAGAACAATATATATAAACAACCAGTCAGTAATGGAAAACATTCTACATGCCGGTATAAGAAATCGATGTTACGGAGTGAATTTTAAATGCAGGAGAGAAATTTCTGTTTGTTTTCTCTACTGTCACCTGTAGATTTGAAATAATGCGAAGAATACTAATAATCACGATAAATGAACATAGACAAGACACAAACAACAACTCGGATTCGTGATACGCAGTATGAAAGAGTATTGTATTTTAATGTCAGATTCAAACACAAATTTTTAGTTGCACAGTAAGTAAATTAATTATTCACCACACCCACTACACGTTGGTTGTCTCTCCAAGCATCCATCATGCAGTCTTTATTTGTTCTCAGTTTTGGTGGATCCTACCAATTGTTCAGTGTTCTAATTTCCGTTTTCTTCTTTCTGAAAGTTCGGATTACCAAGAGTCACTACGCTGGAAGCATCTACAGAGTTGCGGTTAGTTGTGATCAGAATTAAAATTGAAATTACCTGCTTGATTGATTTTCACTTGGTATAAATGTCTGCTATGAACGAAATGGTCCTTCCTTCAAATCAATAATTTTCACTTAAAGATTACTTATTCTCTAAATTACAAATTCAGTATGGCAGCAAGAACTTCAGTAGGCCAGATGTTGAGATACTTTTCCGTGAAATGACTTTCATTCCCAATAACTAATGCATTTGGTATTCTTTCACTCAGGAGAACTACGTTCGCACTGAACGAAAAGTCGAAGGAAAATTCACCTCATCATTAAAACACAGAAAATACTCATAGTGTAGTGGTATGATCTTACTTCTTTCATACAACTCAGAAGAACTACGCTTGCTTTGAACTCTTTAACGTCCTTTCACTGCACTTATAACAGTTCCAAAAAAACGTAAGATTACCTCTTACAAGTCCTACTGCATCAACAGGCAGTGCCTGAAACAGAAAATTCGTTAACTGGCATTCTTAAGTATCAACAGAATGATAGAAATTCTGTATATGGTATGACTTCAGCTATTCAAAACTTAATGGTGAAATTACAAGCATTCAATCAAAAATCACATCACTGGACTATTGCAGTAAACGATAAATGAAATGACTTAGTTGCGTGGTAAGAAAGCTTTAACACCTCATGATCAACTAAAAGATAAATAAAAGAGAAAGCAAAAACAACTGATCGAGAAATACATGCAATAATTCGAAAAATATTTGGTTATTTTCTTTAACATGTCCAAAATGACAAGTTAGGGCTACTGTGATGAAGAATGATTTAGTAGAAAAATACTTTAACAAATCACATTAAAATGAATAGTAATAGCTGAAGGTTAGTAGCTGAACGCATGAACAGCACACGTTGTGTGCAGAATGATAACTATCAAGTAGAAAAATGTGGTAGTATTTTGGTTGAAATTAAAAAGGCTCTCTGCATGATACCACGTTTGGCCGTGTTAACAAAGTCTGAATAGTTCACACATCAAGGTTTTCATATTCCAAGTATTTGAGATTTTTTAGCATTACAGTTCTCTACATTCAGACAAATTTCATAATGTTGTTATAAAAGATCTTTGATGTGTAACTCTTGTATTGGACTAATGTTCCGTAAGCCAGACACTTGTTAGGACTATTTTTTTAAACTATTGTTAATTTCATTTTTTTATATTTTCCAGACTTTCTCGAATTGCCATGGGATGAAAAATTATTTAGGTATGAAAAATACATTGTTAACTACTTTATGATAACATGATGAGTGAACAAAATGTGTAATACATATATGAGAATATTTTACTGGGATCAAATAAAATTATAATTTAGCCTGTGAGATTTACAGTCGTATTTCGTTTTTTCAAATAATACGACAAGTCATACACGATATGCTTGGCGACACATTGTTATTGTTGAATTTCACATCATTGGGCTATTAGTTTTCCCGTCAAACAGTTAGCTTTCTTCCAAATATCATGTTGTCATTTTGTGGTATTTTGACTAGTCACTGATATCTTTTGTATGGAATTCTTTCGCTGATTGGATTTCCAAATACAACACTCTCTGTTGTGCACATGTAATTTTCTTTAATTCCAATACTGGCATTTACAACAGTCCTAAGTATTTTGATTTCCATTAGTTTCAATCATCGTACTCGCATCGTTATGAGCTCAGTTCCTGAAAATATCTGTGACATCTTTGGTAGATGAGCTTAGACGTGATCCAGTGCACCAAATGATAAATTGCAAAACTATTTCTTGTCGTAACATCATACATATTCTTACACATTGAGAAATTCTTACTTCTGTGCTTCTAAACATTTTCTTGTATTAATAAAATTTATCTCTATTACATCAAAAAATAACTAAATTTGTAGATCCCAGGATGTCCACACCTCGATCTTATAACTCATGTCATCTTTAACTAACAATATCAAAGCCTGGCTGTGTGACGCAGGAGCCGACTGCTACGAGCGTGACAAAAGCATTTGCACAGTTCCTCGTAGTATTGCAGCCACCATTGTGAGAGTTCAACAGGTAAGTTATACTCGGTATGTCCGGTAGTGAGCATCCTGCCACTAAAAATGGCCGTCTTCAAACGTGACCTATCCGACTGACAAACGCCAGACTAGCCCTTCCACTGTATCGCCTTGTATCGCGGCTTGGCAACAGAAATTTTGCAATCTATGAGGAGGAGGGTCCTGTCCAACAAACTATTCATGAAGGCCCTCTTACACAATCCCTTCTAACTAAGCCTCAATAGGTGCAAACAGAACTCGCTTCGTCCGGAATAACACTGCCGATGAACTGGATATATTTGTTGACTGGATTATGGAGATTATCAGAACTCCAATCATCAAGGTTTATATTCCTTCAAAGAGAAGCCGCAATCGACACAAAATGAGAAAATAGTGTCATTTGTTATGAAAATAACCCTGCTGCCTGACCATATTAATAATCCTATGAATTTCTGACACGATTGATGCTAATATTTGAAAATGAGTAGATCTGTGAGAGATGCGCTCCTAAATCAATGTTTCTGTATGCAGTAAGTCAATTATTCATATTTCTACTTATAAGTATCAAGTTTGGCATAAGATAGAAGTCGACTTATTAGAAATTGAGCGACGATTTCAAGTTTTGAAATGGATAGAGCTCATGCGCCACAGAGATGAACAGTAGGGTGTTGTACGGTGCTTCTATCTAAATAAATCTTTCCGAGGTGATAAACAGTGAGCGCTGCTTATATGATCATCAGGAGGCACATAAATTGTAACCAGGGCGACTATGAGTCCCAACCTGTATCTGTGATAGCGGTGTGAACTTTCGTCAATGTTAGGGTAAATTCGACAATATTGCTTCTAGTGGGGATGAAGTTCGCTCGAATGCTTTTACTGAGGATTTGCCCAAATGATTGTGTCGCTAGACCTCCAATTAGCAGCTGCGTGTTAGGTTACCTGAGAGAAAAGAACAATAGAAAAAGGTGAGCCCACGACTGAGTAAGCACACAGAATGTACTTACATTCAATACAGAAAGCAATAAACAACGACCATAAATAAAGCCAGCATGAGATCAAGGCAGATTGATAATCGAAACTGAAATTTAGTATAGGTTTCGGATGTGTTACATAATGTATTGTTTGGTCTACTGCTTTACCTCTGACGTTGCGGATTCACAGTAAGAGATCGCGTTTTTACGCAGTTGCGTGCTTTGCGCAATGTCATATCCACCTCAAGCGCGTTATCCTAATTCCCTGTACAGTAATTTGCTGCTGATAGTTTCTGGCCAATGGATCAGGAGTATCTCGTGTAGACAACTATTCCTGTGTGCCTGCATCTTTTCAATGATGGCTTTCGTAGTTCTCCAAGTTTCCGCTACACACAACAAAAATGTTTTGATATTTGTATTGAAAATCCCGACCTTAGAATTGGTTGACAGTTGTTTGGAGTTTCCGATGTCCTTCACCAGAAGAAGTGCTGCCCCTTACTTCCTAATCCGTGTTTTCATATTAGCATCAGGTCCGCCTTATACATCAATGATTCTGGCCATATTTTTAAAGATTCGCAGATCTTTCAAAGCTTCTCCATAAAGCGTTATTTAGTCGGCGCATGTTTTTTGTGTCTAAGGATCTTGCTTTTTCTTTCGTGTATGGTGACACCTATTGCTGCAGAGGCTGCTGCTGCACCGGTCGTCTTCTCCTGCATTTGTTGCTGTGTGTGCTTTATAAATATACTACATCTAGCTAAACAAGAAATTCGTTTGGGAAGCTAAACATATAATAACTGAAAATACTTACATTGTTTATTTAAGACTTGAAGATGACTGGAAATAGTGGACTCAGGAACATATAAACAGGACGGTATGTCTCAGTCATGCAACACCTTTCATTCCACGAAACCACTTGCTCTTTAAGTTAAATGCGTTGTAACGCGAAGAATACGCTGAAAATCCCCCCGGTCTTTTATTGAATAGTGCTCTAACTTCTTTGCTCTTCTTCCTTGTTTTGTAACTAACTTTTACCCAGTGATTCTTGCAATCATGTTTTATTTCTCAGTTATTGGCATTCGACCTTAGTTAGTTGTTACCTTTATTGTTTGGTTTCGTTATTGTTCGTTACCGAACCATTGACAATTAGGTCGTCTTCGACTAAACTTGAGGTTACGGCACGGCTCATCTCAAGACTGTTGACCTTTGACTGCTTGACGGAAAATGTTACTCAAATTCTTGTGGATAGATATTTGATCTCATCTTGTAGGGAATTCTCTTGTTCATTTTTAGGTACCGAGCACTTACCTAGTATTTATTCCTTTGGCTATTTAGATAGATAAGCCTTTCACCATATGGTACAGGCTATAAAGTTTAACCTCTTTTGTAATGTCGACATAATATTTTTCTTCTTAAATTACGACCGACTACATTTAGCACAGATACTGTGTCTCACTATAATTTGTTGCAAGTCACTCAAAGACGTTATTTACGCAAAATAGAAAAATACAGTTTGATCGAATGGAATAGGCTTTGGTTCGTTAGTCCTACGTTGGGACCAAATAATAGTACATGCATTTTTCTCCTTATATTTCGTGTAATAGTACAATTGAATGTATTACAGCCCACTTCATAAATGAGGTACGGCAAGTGTCTAGTCCATGTTGCGGATCTGGTAAAATTAGTGGCATTCCGTTGCATTGTCTCAAATCTACGGCTGACAACAAGGAAAAAACAACGAAGTCTTCCTCGCCTGAATTAATAATGCATTTCCTTACATCGCTTTATTATATGGAAATATAAAATATTTATATAATATCATTGTGCCATATTCAAATCACAAAAAATTCTGATCGCAGTTGACAAAAAGGGAAAACGACTGTTGACGAAGTGACCAAGAGACTTGCAATAAAATATAGTAATATATGAATATTTTCTATTCTTACTGGCCACGTTTCACCTCCGTAAAGAAGGATGGAGCGAATTTCTGAACAGCAGATTCGTCCTTTGGTTAGCAGACTACTACGCTATAAGTGACGCACATTGGCGAAAAACAGTCTAGCCCTCTGTATCCGTGCTCAGATTTCGTCATACATCAGGCCATCAGCAATAATGAATCTCCCTCGGTAAGTGAAGCGGTCGACACGCTCAACCACTCCACTTTCTATCATCAGATCAGGTGTCGATCCAAGCCAATCCTCAAACAACATTTCGCACCTCGACGCAGAGAATCGCATCCTGAACATTCTTGCATTGTTGCTCAAGGTGGTCTGAAGACTGCACTTCGTCAGCGTATTCACCGAGAGAAACTATGTCATCTGCATACTCTAAGTCAACAAGTGAGTCTCCTGGTAGAAGATCAACTCTTGAAAGTCAGATGGTGAAAATTTCGTCTCTGAAAGCATGTCAATGACAAAGTTCAATAGGAATGGAGAAATCGGACAACCCTGACCAATACCACTTGAAGTAATCGACTCCGATGACAGTTCTACATGAGTTCTGACCCAACCAGTAGTGTTTGTGTCTATGTTCCAGCATCTGATGAAGTGATGAGAAGCTTTCTAGCCTTCTTCAAGAGGTTAGACTCTCTCATGTAGTATTAGTGATGTTCGATATTCTGGAGGCTCACGTAGGCAGAATAAACGAAGCTGGAAGATATCTGTGTGGGTCTTCCGATGTCTCGTCTCAACGAGCAGGTAACAACAACCGTCTGCTGCAGCTAGGCTCAGATAACCGGCTATTTCTGTCACATACCAATATCAATCATATAGAAAGACATCTTTTGACGAGGTGACCCATAAAGTCGACTCAACACTGAACCCGACTAGACCACACTGCTATCAGCCACCTATGGATAAGCTCGAGAGGAGACTGTCGCTCATTCTGCAGCACAAGTTCAAATTCAGATAGTGTGCAAGTGCGAGCACGTACTTGTCTGTGCCTCATTGGATGAAATAAAGATAGGGACGAATTACCTGAGAGTTGTACTCAACAATGACAAAACTGAGTACACTTCAAAGGTAACCAGAAAAACAGTTAAAGAGGGAATCAAATTGTGCATCGACCGTTAAATAATGGACGTGCAATAATATGAGTGAAGACCACCATCCAAAACATGGAGTGGAGATACTGCCTACACAGTGAACACTATTGGGATGAAAATTTACCAACTTACGAGTAAATTTCACTCGGTCGAGAATACACTCCAAATTAAGGTCAGTTTTACTACTGCGCCTTTTTGACTATTTCGTTGCGCTTACTCACCACAGACGTGAATGCTTTAAAAACTTGCTATCTTACCGACAAAAGTGGAACCTTCATGAAGGAGACGTCTTATTGTGTCAAAACGTCGGAAGTCAAACGAAACATTCACAGTAGCTTAACATGATGTTCAAAGAGATACTTACATGATAAAATTACGTGATAAAACACTAACCTGTTAGCACGTGAACTATCAAGTGAATCGTTTGGACCCTCTAACTTTACTCGGATATGGTTTTTGTCGGCTTGAAGCATGGAAATATTTCTGAGAGAGACGAAAAGAAAGAAGAATATTCAAACGACTGAACTGTGTTACGACAAGGCGCCTAACAACGAAAAGTTCGACAAAAAACCCACAATCGAACTCATGAAATGGTGATAACTGATACTTATAAGTGGTGAACAACGTCAGGGGATGAAAATGCTTGATGCTATCGAAATTTCACAACTCGTTACTCAGAGGTAATAAGTGTGAGAAATCTGATGTTACTGAGTGCCTAAACTAACGTATTCAGGTTCGTTTGTTGTTAGTATCTCTGCACCTAACTACTCGTATTCGCTTTAGTAGAAGCAATGTCAATCGTGCAAGAAAATGCTATATACCTACAGGAAGATTGACGAAATTGCTTGAAGAGATCGTTTGAATGACCATCTGTAGGTAGTGGGTCAACGAGTCTTGAGTGATGCGTCATGTATTGGTCTCACTGAGAGTATTGTATAGCTAGAATGACATGGTAAAAATCTCGATCGCGTTCTTTTTGCACGACTAAAGAAAACATATTTTTCATGGAAAATTTATCGATTGACAATTGCTCATGTTAAACGAACCGAAAACTGAACTACATTGAATGAAGCTTAATAGTTTCACCATATTGTGGCCGAGAATTTTCGAATGATACTTCCAGACAGATGATTATGTTCGACATCATCGATCGACATATAAAGGTGTGTACAGTGTATACCTTGAAGTACAGATTTAAAAACAAATCACGTTATATAAACAACCATTATTTGCGATTTATAGGAATGTCGTAGACAACTGTTTGGAGTCAGAGTATAAATCAGGCGGTCGAAAGCTCCGCAGGTAACTGATCGCTAGTATACACGTTCATGCGGTCAAATTCGTCTTCTTTTGTTTTCTGAGCCGTTCTGTGAAGGATGACTTATAAATTTTCATGATGACTCTCGGAAAGACATTGCAAGGATGATCTGAGTTTTTGAAAAAACTGCTCTCACCTTGCGTTGATTCTTAAAATATTTTCAGACAACTGCAGTGTAACATTCATAAGCAACCAAATGGATGCGGAAAACACGAGTATTTGTATGCATGTATTACCTAATGTCAATACTCCAATAAGTTCTCCTTTAATAAAACCATGGAATATGGATTTATTTTGCTTTCATTGGTGGCGGGATATTATGGAAAATTTAGTCTTCACCAAGTAGAAATTTCAGCGACATATTCTAAGTCAACGAGAGGAACTCCTGGTAGAAGTTCAACCCTTATAAAATCAGATTATGAAAGTATCGTATCTGAATTATTCTTTTGTCGTTTTTTTTATATCTAGTCATACCTCATCTTATTCGTTTAGATTTTTTCTAAAGATGTTACGAGTAACCAGCACAGTCGTATTCACAAATGTATAGAGCAGACGCACAATCATCAGAAGAATACCTCGAAGTCATGAGAAATAATATTTTGCACAAGTAACGGATTGAATAATTCATAAACGAGATGATGTGGAATAGGCAACTAAGTCACAACATACGGAGGCAAAGATCAGGATAGGGGTGAAAGAGAGCTATTCACTCACAAATCACACATATTAAACGTAATTATCAGATCGTGAGCTCGGTTACCTGCATTGTAGATGGTGGAACCGTTTTCGTAACCCGGACGAATCCAATATTTCTTGTGCCACTCTTTTCAGTTCCTGTGATAAGGCTATCTCGCGTAAAACGATTTCACTGGCACATCGATCGTGAATTTTGATCGAGTCTAAGGAGGAACTTCTGCGTAAATGCATGAAAACAAGGCATCCAAGAGCATCGCTCCTGTAGATCAGTTTCGAATCACGCGGGCAGTGTAAGGTAACAGTTGCTAGTTGAAGAAGAGACATCAAACAAAGACGAAGCGCTGAATTTGAGAAAGAGTTTTGGAGAAACATATATTGTGGATGAGGTTTGACAAGAAAAAGCTATGCTGAAGTATATAGCTATATATTGCACAGAGCATCAAGAGAACTATCTGACTGTTCATGTTACTTTTTCGTCCGTGACCATCATTCATACAAAAGACAGACGAGAATGTCCTATTCAATGCATTTTATCGTTTTCTGTTACTTGCCACATAATTCCAACATGTTCCGATTTCATGAGTTCTGTTGAAACTATTGAATGTTTTCCGAACGATGACAGAATGAAGTATGACTTATTAAAACTGATGCTTCAAACAGCTGTAGTGGAACGCTTCTACGAAGAAAATACGATTTATGAAAAATAAACATTATTGTGCATCTTTTGCTTAACTGTACCAAAAACACTTCTTCGACTTCTTGCGCGCAACGTTCTCTTCGCCATCTTTCTCTATTTGCTGCTCTCTATGCAATGCCAACGTTCTCCTTCAATAAAACCGTGGAATATGGATTTATATTGCTTTGATTGTTGGCGGGATATTATGGAAAAGTTAGTGGTGAGCATAGTGATTATGGTATCTGGATTTCCTCACAACACAGCGTTCTAGTAAAAAGCCGTTCGAAGGTTCACATCTGTAAGCCGATGAAGATGACCTGGTGATCTGCGACTAAGTGCGGTTACGTGAAAATAGAACAACTTGATTTCTACTATAGTCCATTTTATTCCGGTCATTAACCAGACCCTGATGACGCCAACCAGAAAGAAAATCTTTTTAAGCACAGAACTAACAGTAAGCCTGGTACATTTAGACCTGCAAGGTCTCGAAACAAGGTGCCTGAAGTTCATCCTCCACTAACTTCCACATATCCACCAGATGAAATATTGAGTGGCTCACATTTTTCTACATTTATTAAGTATAAATGTACAAATTTGAGGATTCTATGTGTCAATACTTAACTAACCGTGATTTTGATTCTCCAGATTTGGCTTTCCTCATCTGTTCATCGAGTTCCGGACAAATTTCACAATCAAACAACCGAAATAGGTTCACAGATAAACGTTCCGTTTATAGGAACGCTCCAAAAACAAATAAGTTGTCGAACTGGTTGTTGACCTATGCCTTCAGTTGCTGCAACTTATACTGCCGGTTCTACTTCCATTAGTCGCACCACAAATGCTTCACCCTATAATTATAGTAATACAATTCACTTCTTATGTACTCCGTACACTTGGTTGACTTTCCATGCATTCCATGGCATCGGAGCATTATGAGACCAGGTATTTGACTGAAGCGAGTGAAATAATCTGAATGTCTAGCATTGGAGGCCCTTCAAACTGAGCGCATATGCACTATATTCAATAACTAGAGAAGGGATATTGGAGAAGCCGAACTCCTCTCTCCTCGACGGAATACCAACTGTAATTGGTGCCTAGTGATGATGATCAGTTATCGCGTTATTTGTATCTCTAACATGGACATCACCATTATAAAACAACAAATTTCCCTTTGAAATAAGATACACAATGCTACTAGTGTCAACTATAAGTGACAGGGACTTGCCTATACTAGTAATCAATTTCGTATTCAACATGAAGCGTTTCTGAAAGCGGTGGAAATCGATAATGTTCTGTAAAAATCAACAGATTTTGACTCATATTCATTCAGTGCTTCAGTAGTAAATGACTTTAAAAGTTTACAAACGTTTCGTAAATGTTTAACCTCTCCGCAGTCAGGACGACGAGCACCATGAAACTGACATGAACTATAAAGGTTCAGTTTATCTAATAAAATACTATAAATATCAATCATTCGTCGCTTTTATTCATGTGTGTGCATACCTATTTCGCTTGTCATATGTCTGTCTTATTCTTATCTGACTATATATTCTTAGTCATTCTCTATCTCTTTGAGTTGGCTCTTAGCCTTCTCCAATCCGCTTCGCTTTGTTGTGTGTTCCGAATAAACGTATTCATCAATACTGAAGAATTCAGAATTTATTACAGGGATATTTCGGTTGCGGCCTTTCTTTTCATTTCGACCTCAATTCTTACTTGGCATTGGGAAACAGGTGCCCAGACAAAGTTTGAAGCGACAGTAGACAATTTAAACGAAGCTAGCTGCCAAAATACTGGCAAACTCACAATATCTGTGAAGGTTCATGAATAAAAGAAAACCTGCAAAACAAGTTGGTTGATTTAAGAAGACTAAAATTGGCGGGCCAAAGAAAGTCTACAGAGTATGACAGTATTCATCCTCAGTTTACTGGTATGTGACCTGTTCAGGCATTCAATAGAGTCACAACAACTCCCACCTGAATGGAAACAAGCTACTCTCACTTCAATTTTCAGTGGAAAAGATAGGAAATATACAGCCTGCCTTAGACCAGTTGCATTACTACCAGTGTCAGAAATTCATATAATTATTGGTATGGTCGAGCAATAGGGTTATTTTCATAACGTTAATAAAAACAGAGACAAAAAGACAGTTGAATTCATCTTAAACCTAATGCTAGCAAGAGGAAATAGCCTTCAGCCTGTTACTTAGGTACCATTTCTTGTAGTTCATCTAAGAAGGTGAAAATTCAAAGTATTTCACACTGATATACACTTTATATATATATATTTTTAGTGGCTACCGAGTTGAGACTGACTACCATCAAATACTAATTTATAATTACTAACCCGTCACATTAGTAAAAATTAAGTCCAGGGTAAAGAATATATTTGAAGGAGAAAGCGAGCGACATAACAAGCTATGAATGATGACAGCAACGCCAAACGGAGATGCACCAAAGTACAGTTAGGTGCAGTTAAACAAAAGGAGTACAATAATGCATGCTTCCTTTCCACCAATTGCGTTTTCTTCGTATAAGTAATCCGCTACATATTATCATTGATACCGTCATTATTACTGACGTTCCACACGCTTTTGCTTGGCACGGAAAAATACAACTGAAAACACCGATAGGAAACTCCGATCTGATGTTTTATACGAAGTGAATAAGTTGAATCTGCCCCAAACTCAATCATATTTCTACTAATTTAGGACATGGTTTGAAAGATCCATGTCGGGATTCGCATGACACAATGGTGAGTACATTATGTATGGTGAAAAAGGTTAATTTTATTTGATCGACTTCTGTGTTAGCTACAAATGTTCCACAAATCACATATCCTCACAAGCTTCCGTATTAACAATAAGTCATTTGATCAGAGTAGCGTAAGTAATTTCCTGAATAATTGCTGTGCAAAATTAGCGGTCAGTAATGATGAATAATACTAAGTGATGGTTTCAGAACTATTAGATTCTGTGAAATAGCGTTCAAATCCACTTTAATAACGCACTCGAAGTCCGTTCAAGAAAAAATATTATCTTGGTTATTCGGAAGTATGTATTGTGTATAAGTAACATAAATCTGGCTTTCCAATAAATAATTATTAACTAAATTCAAGCTTATATTCGATGTGATAAGACAATAAAAGCAGTCATTCGTGAAAGACTGCAACATAACAATTATTGGTTCAGAATCGCTATCTATGCAAAACCTGTTCCAACCATCAAGAACATAGTCAATATTTCAGTAATTAATTCCACTAGTGAGATACACGAAAAAGGGATGAACACGCACTAATATTAATTTATAAAGTCATCAGCAAGAATTTCACACTACCCGCCGATATGAGGAATTCTGGGGTTCTTCGTCAGCTCCATTTTTGAGGACTCTTCAATTTCTATTTCCAACTTACATGTACAAAGGTTACTAAGAAAAATGTCTTTTTATTGGCGTTGAGGCCACTGAGTTTCCTCTTGTAATAAGGTGGAATCGTTGAACCGTCGTCTTAACTTTTCTGTTCACTTTTCACAAATCTCTGAATTAGACTCAGAATCAGTATGATATCAATCCGCATGATGTAAATTTCATGAACATATGGTTAACACAATACGTCTTGGAAACTTTCGAATATATTTGTTATGCTTTGGAGCAGAGTCATTTCTTTCAGACTTACCTAAAACTTTCACTAATAAGACTGCTGTTGCTAACTCAGGACCTGGGATACCTAGAAAGGCAGCTGATTTCCATGCTGGCATGCAGTTCGTATGTAATGAGTCCCAATCACATCTGCATTTGCTGGCTAAATGAATGAACAGAGTTATAGAATTAAGCGGACGAATATTTCTGCGTCATGATGAAACAGGTAGGTGGGGAACTTTAAAGAGACCGACCCCACCGAACCCACTCAACATTGAAGTAGCACCTACAGACCTCCAAGTCAATGTTCGCACAACGACGGCGGGAAAGATGAGTATGGCCATCAGACAAGCAAGAGCAGAAAATCAGAAGGACCAAATACGAAAACAGCTAAGCAATTGACAGCTCAATAACTGCGAATTCGCTTCATAAACTCTTCAGCAACATTTGTAGGGAAGAACAAGTGAAAGCAGGCTGGAAAGAAGGATACCTCATAAGGGTACAGAAGAAAGGAGATCTGAACAAGTATAAGGACTACAGTGGCATCTCTCTACTCTCAATACCAGGAACATTCTTCAACAGAGTGTTGTTGGATAGGGTAAAAAACTAAGAGAAAACAGTTGTAATTCCTCCTTACATCACTCTCCGTACTACTGCTCAGGTTATATTTAGTAGTTTGCACTGTAGTTTTGAATTTCTGTAGTTCGGATTCGATGTTAAGTTACCTCGTCACAGAAAAGGAATACCTCATTTACACATACTCCCCTCGATGTTTTACACTACTTATCATACTCATTTTGCTGTTCTTTTCTATTAACTGAACTAGAGTTTAGTTTTCCTCACTATTTCAAGTTTTGTTTGATTCGAACCACTTGGTTGTGCTCACGTAACAGTGGGAAAACTCCTGATGTACACGTGACATTTTTTTCGTTCCCGTAATTCTATCCATAGATATACATTTACAATGTAGGCCCTCTGCATGATACCACGTTTGGCCGTGTTAACAAAGTCTGAATAGTTCACACATCAAGGTTTTCATATTCCAAGTATTTGAGATTTTTTAGCATTACAGTTCTCTACATTCAGACAAATTTCATAATGTTGTTATAAAAGATCTTTGATGTGTAACTCTTGTATTGGACTAATGTTCCGTAAGCCAGACACTTGTTAGGACTATTTTTTTAAACTATTGTTAATTCCATTTTTTTATATTTTCCAGACTTTCTTGAATTGCCATGGGATGAAAAATTATTTAAGTATGAAAAATACATTGTTAACTAGTTTATATTAAAATGATTAGTAATTAAAATAACTAATGCACATGAGAAAATTTTACTGAACCAAATAAGATAGTAACAATTCTAATAAAGTGAGAATTCCCAAATAGACATCTAGAAATCGGGCAATGGTGAGAAGACATCTCATTGCTTAGCTTCTTGACATTTCTATATATTATTATGTATATAAATCACTATCTCCACCTGGACTCCCTGTGGGGCTACTGCTGGTCCCAAGCAAGGATAAAGAAGGGTTCGGCAGGGGTTTGGTGACTCCACCCCGTAGAAAGTAAACTTGCTAAAAAGCGCTAACCAGAAAACGTAATTCAAACCATTTTAATTCTGACCTGATAGTTAGAAGGTCTTCACTCAGAAGAAGTTTGACTTCTCATGATCAAAGCCTAGTTCCTTCGGAAGTCACGAGGCCGATGTTCCTTCTGACAACAACAGCAACCATTCTTATAGGTACATGGAATGTTCGAACATTTTGAGAGACTGGAAGACTATCTCAAGTTGCTGCAGAAATGAAATGATACAACCTGGAGGTGCGTGGAATCAGAGAAACGCATTGCACGCAGGTTGGACAACTGAGACTAGTTTTAGTCATTCAATGCTATCCTCCTACAAACAATAAAAATGAAGACGTTAAATGTAAATTCTACTAGAGGTTGCTACTAAACACGGTGGATTGAAATGTTGCAGTTCCTTGAGTGTAAGAAACTAAATAACATTTGAAGAAAGTGGAAGTCAATGAAGAAGCGGAAATAAAATGTCATTTGTAACCCACCTTAGTGTTGGCTTCCTTGATGACGATTGCGCATTATTACAAATGCATTATGCTCCTGGAAGTCTAGTTTATTATGATAGATTTCGGTAGTTTCAGTCATATTGAATCATATAATTCATATGTCACAACCTACAAGTATTTTTCTATTTGAACGGATGAGAAATGTTTCATACTAACAAAAAATAAATACTTCAATGTTATGATGATCAGGTGAAAATTTATTTGTACAGTTGAAGCAAAATTATTACAACTTTTTATCTGGAATAATTTTTTGAGTGAAAAAGCATACTCTATCTAATTTTATGAATTGCAGACATTTTGGATAACCAAAAGTCTCTAACTGTCAGTTTGATTGAAAATATAGGAGTAAAGTAACAGATTAAAAACTCGGATCGATATTAGGGTTTATTTATTTCAGATACAGTGTATAGTGCAAAAAGACCGTTTTAAATGTTATTTTATAGTGATCATTTTTACTAAACAAAGTTGAATGGTTTCATATTGATTAATTAAAAACTAGAGTTATATCATAACTTCAGTCACAAACAAATGTTGGCAACTAAACAGACTGGCATATATTATGAAAAAAAATTTAATGCAAAATTAACCCATCCAAACAAATTCCACAGTGGAACGAACCTTTCATTAAGTCATTCCAGATTGAGAAGATAAGACAATGTAAGTAAGAACATACATATATTTATGGACTACAGTATAGACATTTGGCTTCAGCCATCAATAGTCAAAACGATGTAGAAAAACAACAGAACCTAAAAGCACCCGTAACTCGTCACACAACACTCATCTCAACATCATTTTTTCGTGCTGTTCACATCCACCACTTTCACATCCTTCTTTCCCTCTTCACTCTTCCCTCCAACTGATCCACCCTTTTGGTTGTCCTTGACAACGTCATTGTCTTCCTCACTACCATTATCATCCTGATCAACTTCTTCGTTCACACTCTTCACTGACTTGTCACCTTTCACGTCCTCTGCCTTGTCATCAGTGGGGACAGCAGCGTCACCTGCATCAGCATAAACATAATCATGTAACATGACCACACAGATTAAAAACAGTGTCGATTTGAAGAACATGATAGAACAGTTGAACAGACCAAAGGTTTACTTGACCGACAGAACGTTAATTCTAAATGCAATGATTTCACTAGTCCACACTA